GCACCATTCACTAGTTGGATTCTCAACTTGGCTTTGTATGTTGTTGATGAGGGCCCCACCAAACATAAACAAGCTCAAAGAAATGCCTATTGTGTAAGAAAATTGCGTACAACTTCTTTCTGAAAGAGAAACTACGTGTGCTGTGCGCAGTCCGAACTTGTGCTTTAAAAAAAGAGTTGATGTTCAACAGATTGCATTAATCATTTAAGGTTATCGTTCTGTTTCGTTTGAGTGTCCTTCACTTTTCCATCAAGCATTTTTGTTCATATATATTTCGACGAACAACATCGTATACCATCTATACTCAGCAACCATTCAAATTATCTAAAGATTCCATACATAGACCTTTTCTCGTACTCTCTCTCTCTTTCTCTCTCGCAACGCAGCTCACAAGCGCGCTCGCTTTGTGTGTGTTTTTTTAGTTTCTACTTCTCTATCAAAATACAACTGAATATAGTTCCTTGACTTAATCTTGTGACTTTGTTGAAATCGCAGTTCATTTACCGATGCTCGATTCATCACTTTGCTGTGGTGAAAAACGTTTGCATCGTACAATCTCAATATTAAAATAATCGTACGACCTTTGAGAATCATCAGATGTTGTTTCTCTCTATCTCTCTCTCTCTCTCTCTCACTCTTTTATGTGTGTGTTTCATCGTTTGTGGAATTTTCGCTGGGCGATTTGAATTCGAAAATATTGCTTCGCAATACAGTCGATCGTTATTGGCTCATATCATTAGTCAGATGAAGAAGACTTTGAATGAGCCGTAAATTTATTCAGAGTCATCGGCGTTTAAAGACCATAGTCATCATTTTTTGTGATTGAGCAACATTCAAGCAACTGACGAACACTAAAAAAACCGAAATTTCATCATTCTTAAGGTTGTTTTTTTTTGTCGTTGTTGTTAGTGTTGGTGGTATTTCAGAACACCGTTGTAAATCAACGGAAAAACAATGCAAACAACGCTGCAAGAAGACAATTTAATTTATAACGGTTATAATATATAATATCGGAATTGATGTGTATTTATGTGTTACTTCTGTTGGATAAAAACATTTCTAGGTAAAAATTCATTTGTTACTGATTCTCTTGGCCAACAGTGCAACAATCTATTTTCGGATTGCTTCTTTTTTTTAAATAAACTCGACGAGGGAAAGTGATTCAGGTGATTCATTTGGGATTACAACATTTCAATTCCAATGGGTTTTGGTGTGGAATAATTTCAGAATCAGTTTATCAACAAACGAAAATGTTACCATTCAAAAGCACGCTGAAATACAAGACCGTTTTGCACGAGTACATTGAAAGTGAGAATATACTTCCAGAGCCGAATGAGGTTATGAATGCATTATTTGGTCGAGTAACATGCCTCAAGATACCACGATGTGAAAATAAGAGTGTGCCAGCCAACACACAAACACATCGTGGACACGCACTGCCGCTCAATGAAATCCGTTTTATGATATAAATGTGGTTGTGAGCCAGAAAATTTATATAAGAAATGCATTGAGATTTACTTTATTACGGTAAATATACAGCATGCATGTTTTTGCGGTCGTACAAATCAACAAGTCGGTGCGGCCAACTGCAGTGCTGTTGAAAAGTAAAATCGCGAATCGCGTTCTTCATGTTATTTGTGTGCGTGTGCGCGCTTTTTTTATTTCCATCCGAAACTGTTGTACCAAACATTCAATAGTGCACAGCGAATACGAGAGTCTTTTTTCTCTCTCTCACTCTCTCTCTCTCTCTCTCTCTCTCTCTCTCTCTAGCTCCGGATTGGTGAACACTTCAACGGACAACCACATATGCATTGAGCTCTTTCATTGCAATATTGGATTCATTCACGTAATACTCATGAAGACATACCCAATTCAACTGTTTTTGCGTCCTTCAGAGTTCGTTACTATTTGGTACAAGAGCTTGTAGTTTTCATTTGTTGTTGTAATTTGCTACAATTTTTTATGTTTGTTTATATATCTATTTTCTTCAATGTGGTTTTTTTTCGAGCTTCCATTTTGGTTGTGTTTCGTATGGCTTTAATGTTCGGTGTTACTTCGATGTTTCTCTTTTATCAAGCAATCTGCGACCGATTCCGTTCCATTCATTGAATCGTAGGCATTCCCCCCAAACACAAAATAAAAATAAAAGCAGACAAGAGAATGCCTTCTAAATTAGTTAGATTAAATGCCAAGCGCTAAATCATCGAACCGAAATGAATCTTAGAGCAGCGAGAAAAAAGTGAACTTTTCCTTAAACACCGTTGGCGCGGTGTAAAAAAGTGGTTTCTCATTCAATCGCAAGAATATTCTTGAAACCGAAACGCAGCATCGACCATAAGCTGAAAATGTAATTTGGCACATGCGACATAAACAACAAGTCTGCCGGACGATTTGGTTTCGAATTATATATTTGGTAAAAGAGAACGACAAAAGGGGGAAAAAAATCAGCGACTGTTCAACATTTTGTACCTTGCCTTGCTCAATCCGAAATCCAACCAAACCACTTGCGCTGACAAAACATCAACAAATTTGCTGTTGAATTGTTCAAATAAAAAACGGCGCTTTGCAAATAATTTATTAAGTTGTACAAAGGTAAAAATTGTAATGACTGTTTGCAGCCAGGGTTTGCAACAACTTGATTTCGACGAACCAACTGGAACCATTTAACGCGCATACTGACATCTTTGCAATAGTGTTTAGATCGCTACAATAAGCCCCATAATATTTATATATACAAATAGTATATCTCACAACAGATCTCTTTTTTCTGTTCAGTTCAAAGCATACTTTTGAGCAATGCTAAAGCGTAACAGCCGCACGATTTTAATGGAATGAACACAACAACAAAGTAAAGTGCATTCAAAATGTATTTATTATACCTTAAAGTCGTTTTGTTTGTCATATTTTGAGCATCTTCAAATTGTAGACGTTGTAATAAAAGCATGATCATTTCGAATGGCGGGGAAAATATAGCTAGGCTTTCTATTGAGATGTCGGTGATAACAGTAATTTCCGTTTTGCAAACTGTTCAATACATGCGCTTTTAAAATTCAACAAAACATCGAAGTTAATGTCGTCAATGTGTAGCTGAATATGCTTATTACCAAATCTCACACAATCGAACTCAATGTCTCGGTTCGTTCACAATCAAAACCACAAATTTAGTACACATTAAAATTGTTATTATTCAGATTTGTGTTGCTTGAGATTTCATCAGATGTGGTGTCAATCGTCTCTTTTTTTATGATCTCGATACAGTTTTATATGATTCTGGTACGACAGAGTCCAATCAAGTAATCATATCACGAACGTTACTTTTCGTTCGAAACAAACGATCCAAAATGCGCTCAAAAAATCAACGTTATGATTATTTCGGTGCGAAACCGAGAGACAGACACACACAATGCGAAATAACAAATGATGAATCAAGTACATCGTGTGCGCGAAGCGTTCGTCCACTAAAATTTAAGGCACTGGTATGTTTTTTTTTCGGTATGAATGTGTGCATACAAATTAAATGTTATTGTTGTTTTGCCTTTCATCATCTCACTCGTCGATTTCGTAGACGTACACTACTACTACATGACCGCACAAAATTGCAATGACTCGAATTTAATATGCTGAAAGTATCATTTGTTTTCTTTGGACATTATAATGCGCGAGCAATTCACTCGATTCACTGTCAATTGATTAAGAACACTGTACGCAGACAGACAGACAGAGAAAAGAGATTCGGCGCACAAAATGAAAGCTGATAAACCGAACTATATCTCTATCTCCGACTGTGTGTAATATACATACATCCAAATTTGTGTTCGCAAAAGCGTGCGCGCGTGCGCGCGTGCGCTCGTTTTCTTCCATTTAATGGACACAGACGCGCATAACATGAGAGGAATGCACAAACATTTCGGATTCGGCGGTCGAACAGTAAATAAAAGATGTGAACGCATCGATTTTAAACGATAATAATTTCATGACCAGTTAAATGGCAATCAATCATGACTTTTGGGCTGGTTGACAACAGTCTATCGCGTCCATTTTTTTAAGTTTGTTTGTTTCGTCGTGTGATTATGCATTCGGAAAGTCTTGAGATGGCGTCATGTATTTCGAAATTCATGAGGAAGAGTGTACAAATGGTGGAAATAGAACAAGCAATTAGAATTAGAGAACAGCCAATTCAAATCAAGCCACGTTCTAAAAATTCAATTTTAGCATAAAATCACTTCGTTAAGGATAGGTAGAACTCATTTCTTCCGGTATGAAAATTCGATGATTTTGTGATTTAAAATGCGCGATCTGAAATTCGACACGTCTAACCGCTTCTTGATGCGCTTGTTCCATCTTGATGCCATCCACACTGACTCATCGCTGTAGTATCTTTCCATTGGAAATTCAGGTACGCACGTTTCATTTTTGTTGTTCTCTCATGTCTGCGGTTCCATCGTCTCATGTAATTTAAACCGAAACGTACACAATCAAGACCGTAGTCGTCGTAGCCTTCGTTGTCATCATCATTAACAACAAAAAAGTGTAAAACAAAAGCGTATGAAAATTTAACAAAAAAAAAAAGAACGACCGTAAGAAAGACATTAGTCAGTAAGAGAATCCTTGAATTAGTATGGGTCATAAGACGCATACCAAAATGCCCAAAATTTACACAACAAATTGTTTACCGTAAACGACTGTTTAAGCAAATGTTTTGATTTTGTTTGAAATTTTAATTTAACCAAAAAAAAAAGACTATCTCCATCAGACACACACGCGCCAGAACCAAAAATAAGTAAATACAAGAAAGAAAAAACAATGATCAATGGAATCTGTCACGGTCGGACCCGTTGAGCGCATGGTCAGCCATCAAAAAATGCACTGATTAGACACTAAACGCAAGTAGACATTGTACCAAATGACCGAATGATGAGAAACTTATAAACAAGCTTAGTTCAAAACAACAGAAAGAAAAAAAATAAAAAAATTATTGAAATAATTTCCACTCGACTTACTTTATTAACATTTTGTGTTGCTATTTTGTTTTATTGTGTGCCAAAAAGAGAGTCTATAGATTTTTTAAGTAATCCGGTATTTTCTGCAGAAAAAATTGAAATCACCATAGTTTAGTTTGGTTTGAGAGACAATTTGATGAATATTCAGTATAACATTTTTCACTTGAATTAACTTTGATTTAACGTTTTTATCTTTTATAACGATTTTCCTTCCAACTTTTTTTTATTATTATAAATTTATTAAAACGTAAATTGGTGTTATTTAATTTTCGCGATTTTTTTTTAATCTTTCTTCTTTTTCAAATGTTTCGTTCGACTTTCAGCTGAAGCATGCACAGGCTTTCTTCTCAATGCACAGAAAGATGTAGATACTCGCGAGCAGCGCTTAAGTTTTTTTTTTACTGGAAATAATTTGAATAGCGGCGTAAGGCTAGCGTAACAGGTGGCCAATGCATTGAGCATTCAAAAGATACGTTTTTGTTGACCTTCAGGCTCATATATTTCTTTTTTCATCGTAATGATTTTGGCTTTTTTTTCTGTTGTTATTATGATTTCCTTGTTTTCGTTCAATGTAGTTTTGTGGCAAACGCTTTTTTTCTCATTCAAGTAAATCGTAAATGATTTTGTATATAGATAGACACACATTTTTTGCCTTTGTCATAAAATCTTTCTAGAAGTTACTAATTTTTCGTTCAACGAAATATGATAGAAAAATACAAGATATATACTACAACGAAGCAGTAGATCTAGATGCATTAAAATGTTGTTATCATTGAAATTGTTTCCAATGAAAAATTCCATCGCATCAGACGAGATTCGTGATCACTGTCTGTACGTATTTGTGTGAGTGTGTGTGTGTGTGTGTGCGTGAGTGGGTTTATCTGTGTTGTTTTAGCGATTTGCTGATTTTTTTCTCTTCTTTTTATTTTGCGTTGTAACATGCACTCTCGTTTCGTAAATGTATTTTTCGTTGGTAATGCAATAAGCAGCAGTGATATTAATAGTTTGGCGGTAATCAAGAGTAATTAATGTCAATATCGTATTCACCCTCCTCTTTCCTCGAAAGTGACAAAATCCAATAAACACGTAATCGAATTGCACGTATGAGAAACGACACACACACACACACGCAAGCACACACAAATATCATATCGAAAAATTATGATCGAATTGGCCGCTATTATAACAAACAGCATCGAAAGTAAATTCGATACTTTTTTCAAATCCAATATATATTAGTATTTTATTGATTTCTTTTTGTTCCGCTTAAAATGAAAATTGTTCAATTATATACACACATACACACAAATACAGAAACTATGTGATTTTGAAAGAAAATGGAAAAACTACGAACACGCAAACAATGGATCATAAGATGCAGCCATTGGGTTTTTCGTTCATTCGTTCGTTGCGTTTCTTTTTTTTTGTGTTTGTTCATATTTATTGTTGGTGTTGTTGTTGTTTTACATTCCCGTGTGTTGTACCCATGGGCAAAAAGTGTATAAGATTGAATTGGTTGGAATGAAAATTTCGCGACTGATATAATACATCGAAGTGAATATGTGCAATGTGCATGTTTTCATGAAACAAGTACGTTGACTGGGGCAATCGCCAGTAGCCAAATGAAAATGAGAGTGAATCAAAAGTTGTAAGCACAATTTTTTTTTCGTTGATCGTACGTATATTCATTGGTTCGTTCATTGGTTCGTTCCTTAGCGTTCATTCGTTCAATACATTAAACACACCATATGAATGAATTCACATTCGTCCATTTTTCACTTCCATGTGAGACACGTATATCGATGGGTTTTGTGAATTGGCGATTTATGCGTAGATGCAATTCAACGTTTAAGGCTGCTTTTTTTTCTTTCTTTTCGTACAGAATTCAATGTGTTTCATAATTCTTTGAATCCAGCTGTAAATGTAATGCGAAATTGATCAACTGGACAAATTATACGTGAACAACAGCAATCGCATGGCTGACTATTTTCTTTTCTCATTTACTTGAAAGACGGGTTTATGGCGTGTAAAAAATCGCAGCAGAAGCAAAATATTCAAGCACATACTGAAAGACAAATCTAGGCTAGTACATAGTCTAAAGCGTGATTGTGTGTGTGTCTGTGTCAGTGTGCGAAATTTAGTTTAGTATATTTTTTCAAATTGCGCTTTTGTGGAAATCACGCCGTTTGATTGTCATCGATTTTGTTTCGCGCCGAATGTCAATCGTCTTGATAGCAATTTTGAAGAACATCATGCGTAAGGTGGCCACTTGTTGTAAAGCCATTTGCAATGGTTGAACAAATATTCAATTCCCACTTTATCGGTCCACACAATATTTGCGGCGACAAATACAGCAATAGGCACAATTATACGCTAATATGCTTAAACCAACATTTACGTTTTTAAAGGTATCGGGAAAAAAACCAACTTTTCGATTCTTCACCTGTCATTATTAATTTCTCACTATTGATGTCGATTCTCTCGAAACGTTGAAACGCGACAAACAACAAGTCGCACAGATGGTGCGATATTTGGATGTTCCTCCAGCACAGCGACGGTGGCGACGACGAAGATGACGACGACGACGACGACGATCGCTTCATTCAATATTTATCCGTAAATTGTATGCTTTATTTTCACCTTTGTCGGAAATTCTCAGTGCGGTGCCATGCTGCTTCATTTTTCACTTCCAAAATGGCGACTATTTCGCAAACTAAATCGTCCATATACATATTACGCATAATTCGAAATACATCCATGTAACGAATTGCGTTAGCATTCATTTAAGTGATGCGATGTGTGATGATACATCACACGTATAGGATTCCGCATTGGGAAAGAGAGAAAGACAAACAGCGGTCTCATCGAATTGACCCAAATTTGATTCAATTAATTGAGTTATGTCATTTTAGCTTCCTGAGACAATTGAATTGATTTCAGCCGCCTGGGAATACCTTAGAAAAACCCAAAAACAATAATACACATGCACCATTGTTCGTTGAATGAAAAGAGAAGATCTCCACTCAGCTTTAAGCCATACAACACTGAACTGCACTTCGTTGCGCGGCTCATATCAATTGGCTTGATATGCGGAAAACATGAACACATGAGCACGCTAACGACCAATTACTATCAACAACAGCAAAAAAAAAACCTATCGTCTTCACGCACCGAAAATTGTTCAGATTTTGAACCGCATAAACGGAGCGCACAAGTTATGCGAGAACTTAGACTGTCAAAATGTACGGATTGAATAGTTGTTCACGATTTAATGTGCACTTTTAGCCGATGAAACGGTATGTATGTCTCTTTTGCGTGAACTTAAATCACGTGTATGAGCTACTGCTCTAGGCACACAATCTACTCCAAGAATGGATCGACTTTTCCAATGGTGAAGCGTACAAGAAAGTATGTTTTATCAACCTTTACTCTGACATAGTTCACGTGTAACTGACAATAGATAACAAAAGAATTAGGTTCAGCAAAGCTATGGTATAGGATATGTTCTACATAACTATGTTGAAGAATTTTTCCTATTATCTCTCCTCAGCTACGAGTATTCTTTGCATGCAGATTAGGCTGAGAAAAAAAACATAAGTTTTCCTACGTCTCACCATTGGTGAGTCACCAATAGATTTGTCGTTGAGCCGCATTTATCCATCATATGATATCCATATGGGTGTTTCATATCAAATTTTCAACTGTAAACACAAATGATAGTTTTGAACTATCGAATAATTGGATTCCTTATAAAATGGTCATAATATGAATTTTAAATGACTTCATACGCTATTCTATACGCTTAAAAAATCGATTTTCCATATCATAATGCTATAAATTGGGGCATAAAGGCTTCTCACGATATGTGTATGATTGATTTGAAAAAAGTGACATCGAACTATTTGTTATTAAATTATTTGGATGTTGATTTTCTATGTTTGGTTCCACAACGTATGGCCTAGTCTTAAAGACATTCGATATGATTAGAGTCAACATTATTTTTCATATGCATGTAATTGTGCAGAGAGGTGGTTCATTAGGTTGGAATGCTTGAGAAGAGCAAAAGCAATTACATCGTGCACCAGGGCATATTTGTACATTATCAGAAAGTGTTCGAGCAAATTAAAAAGAAAAAGATTGAATCCAGTGTTGTAATCGGTTTTGTGAGCAATTAAGCAAACAGTCCGAGTGTTGAGTGGACGATAGTTGTCTTTTGTTGCTTGCAAGCCTTGCAAAAAGTGTAATGTGCTAAGGTATGCATCAGCTGTGACACATGCAGTTGACTTTTTTTTTTTACATTTGACTTGATTGAATCATGTTTTGTTGCATATACAAAATGTTAGTTTAACATATTCTCCACTTGTTTGCCAATAGGTATGGGCTGTGTTTGGTTTTTTCTGTGCTGTTTTTTTCTTCTGGAATTCTCTTGAAAATACACAAAATGCAAAATAACACGGCAATGATGGTCAACATAGATGATATTGCCATTGGTGAAGGAAAAACTTGCTCAACCAAAATGCTTAACACGAAATCTTTTGTCGAATTTTAAAAATAAACATATTGCACATAAAGTGAATCTGAACACATCACTTACAACACATCTTTTTCTCTGTCACATTCTCTCTTTATGACCAAAATACACGTTTTATTTGCCCGTCTCTATCTCTCTCTCTCTGTCTTTTTCTCTTTGCTTAATCTTTCTCCTTCACTCTCATTTTGAATGTATGGGTATTTTAAGGTATATACAGTAAATAAAAATTCCGAAGGTCATACGAAAATTCGTCGGTGAAGAGAGCAAAAGAAAAAGAAGAAGAAGAAAAAGAAGGAGATGACAAAAAAAATCACATTTAAATTATGTGATTGTATTTAAATATGTAAAATGAAAACATACGACAAAATACGTATATCGAAATGGCTTTGAAAGAGATGATGAATTTTTGTTGTTGTTGCTCTTCTCGTCTTTTCGTTCAGATTCGAAAGAGATTCGCTCGCTTGAGTATGTGTGTTGAATAGATACACATGCTACTGGAATGGAATGATGTATTGTCGATGCCTATTCAAAAAGCGCATGAATATACGAACAAGTTGACGACAAAACGTAATTATTAAAAATGAAGTGATTGGTCGTGTTTCTATCTCTCTCTCTCTCTCTCTCTCTCTCTCTCTCTCTCTCTCTCTCTCTCTCTCTCTCTCTTTCGATTTATTTCTTTGGCACATTTGATGCTTATTACTTTCTCATCGATTTCAAAATAGTGCGCGCGTGGTACATTTTTGTACTATCTCACATTAATGAATTAGTTTTGCGGCATTTTATGTTATAAATCGTAAGCGTTTTTTCTCTTCTTTCTTCTTCCCATTGATAAAATTGGTGCCTTCGTAGTTCAACTAGTCAGGTACTTAAACATAGATTCCATCGGAATCGTTGCTGTCTCTTTCTTTCTGCCATATATTTCATATGTTGTGTCTTTTCTTCACGTCGTTCCTATATTTATCACTTCTCATTGCTGCTGTGCATATTTTAGATAGTTTTAAGGCTATGAAATGGTATGGGCAACTAGCCCGATACTCTTTTTTTCGGTGTGATATAATATGTCTGAAAGTCAGTATGCGCGCACATTAATATATATATATATATATATACATACGTGCGCATATACATAACTTGTTTATTAATTACGCATATAACATGTATGTATATACGTAGCAATACACACAATCACACACACAAACGCGCACCAAATTTGGTTTTGTAATCACACAAATCGTAAGATGATATTTCGCTAAAGTATTTCGAAAAGGAAAACAGATTAACAATGTCGATACAATGAATTGTATACAATTCTATTGTTGTTGTTGCTGTTGCTGTTGGTGGTGTGCTTGTGGCGATATGCATGGCTATTGCGTCCATCGTGTGTATTCATTTCTTCTTCTTCTTCTCTTTCTCACCCTTTTAAATTAGGTCAAACGCTTTTAAATGCATTATATTAAAATATCGCCTCTGTTTCTATTTCGTTTTTAATTTGTCTGTTTTGTGGATGTTTGTCTCGATCAACGAAATTGATGTTTATCATTCGCTTTGAACGACTGAAATTGCTGCCGTTGCCGTCAACATTTCGTACAAATTACAAGGAAATTCATAAAACATTTACAGATCGCACTTGAATGTTATGCGTAGCTTTAATACAACCGATTTTTTTTTATTCAAACACATTATTTTCTTCTGTGCTATCAATTTTAAAAACAAAATGAATGGCGTTCATTTTTTTTTTTCTTGGATATCCGTAAACAAAAGCGAATTTGTTTCTCAAAATTTTGCACGTTTTTTAAGGCGTACGATTTTTATTGTTATTTTATTTTTGCTGCTATGTACTTCCGCAACTTAGACGAGATTAATGTGTCAGCACTACACACATCGTGGAACTGATTTCATTTCAGATATCCTTGGTCAAATATCCAATCTTATACCATTCATTTCGTATAACCGCTCTCGAAAAACACATTCGAAATTAGAATAAAAAAAAAAATTGGAAATTCGAAAATCGGTTAAGATTTCATTGATTGTAAATTTTCTGCCCGGGCATTTCAATTTGATTGTTACGTTGATTTTTTTTTCTTCAATTAAGTAATAATAATAAAATATACAAAAAACGTTGGGTATGATTCAATATTCACGTTAAATTAGATTTCGTATATAATTTCATTTAAATGCATTTTTTTTTTTGTTCAAATATTATTTTCATTTTAACTTAATAATTACACATTCATTTTTTTTTATTTGATCGCTTTAAATGAAAATATTCTCAACAAAATGATCGGTACTAACCAAAACACGGAATCGAAAGAAAGTCTGCAAAAAAAAATTACACCGAATTTCACACAATTGAAACCGAATTCTCTCGAGAGGAAAAATGTACACAAAAACTTTTGTATTTTTCTTACTTTTTCTTTTTTGTTTTTCTTTTTCTTTCGAGAAAAAAAAACGAAATAAATCGATTTTTAACACACGATCGTTGCAGTTGCCACCGAACTTAATTTATTTTTTATGGCTAACGTCGATATATATATGACTGACATATATATTTCAATATATATATGTATATATTTGTTGTTGTTTATTCGATTAAGTTGCACGCGCTATGGACATCTTAGATGATCGAGTGTCCAAAGTTGACTAATAACAGCGACGATATCTTCACTAACAAATCATACAATCGCGGAGAAAGACACACACGCTCGCAAAACCTGAGCAAGTGAACAATCAGAAACGGTGATGCCGAAAAACAGCACTACAATGAAATTAATGAAATAATCCAAATGCAACACGTTGAATATGTGCGTGAAAACGTTGAGAAAAAACTAACTGATTTAAAAAAAAAAAACAACGAACAAAATTTTTTTTCTTCAGGTTTGATATTGTGTTTTCTTGCAAATTTCAATTACATCGTTCGGTACGAATGTTCGATGTGAATGTTTCGGAGTGGTCAATACAAATATGTGCAGTAGTTTTTTTTTTTCTTCGTTGGTTGGTCTCTCACTGCGATCGTTTGTCTCCCTAGAAACCGATTGATAATTTATTTTCGGAAATGAAATATCGTTCTTCGGCGTATGTTGCTCCAGTCTAAGCAGCGTCACGCTAGTGCAGTTACTATCCATAAACACAACTGGATAGTTTATGAAAAAATTAACGTAAAATATGTTTCTGATTGATTTTAATCCGCTTGTAAAGCGTTGAACGCATGCGCGTTCGAACGCGCTATCGCCGCACATGGCATCGAGCCGCTAAGAGAGCTTAACATGATGTTGCTGTTTGCTGTTTTGCTGTTATTTTTCGTACCGAATAGCCACAGACATCAGTGTGCCAACACTGGAAATTCACAACCAAGCTACGGCTACGGACCTATGCATTCACCATTCTGCAACACAACACATTTAAAAAGCGATTCGTTATAGACGCATACTTTGAACGTATATCGAAGCAATATGATGCATATAAAATAACCAATGCGATCCGTTTACAAGCGACAAGTATTTCGAAAGAGAAAAACGCTTCACTCTTTTTGCTGTCTGTGCTTAGCGCTTTGGCTCATGCCTTGTAAATAATAATGTGTTAACGTTTGCTGCGTAGTTGTTGTACATGACCAATGGCGAGAGCAAAAGCGTTTCGACGAAGCACACACACATACAGAGGGAGATATATACACACACAAACACGACATAAGAACGAAACATGAAATGACCGGCTGGGGTACAACTTGCTATTGAATGCTCGGTAACCTTAATGGTTCAGCATAGACAATAACAAAAACAAAAACAAAATGAAATAAATTCACCTGATGCGATCAATATTTTCAGTAAGATATGAAACGATGAACCCTTTCATTTGCCAAAGGCACTTCGTTATGAATAGAAAACGTTCAGAATGAATGGTAACGAAAAGTGAATTTGTGAGAGGCCACTTCACTTTGCATCATAAACAAGGATGAAGAACGGTTCCTCTCTTTCTTTTTCGTTTCGTTTCGTATCACTTTTTTGGCTGCAACTGTTGCGGTCGATCTTTTTTTCTGTGCTTTGTATCGCTATTTTCTCATGACTTGTGCTTCATTGTAAATAAGCGGCATGAATACCAATGCACAAATGATTAAAGGTGAATCTTATATAATATCAATAATTTTCAGAGCGAATGTACAATCGAACATCGATGGAATTACATGGACTGCAAAAAATATAATACAAATAAAAAAAGAAGAAGTGGAAGCAACACAGCGCCACCCGGGTACGGTATGTCAACAGACACACCGTCTGAAGACAGAAGAAATGCGAGCAATTGTCATTGGAAAAACTGCCTTCGTCGTACGAAATAACGACGACGACGACGGTGGCGGCCAGAGCGAACGAGCGCACCCGCTCGCAATGTACACTTCGACCATATAACATCGAATATTGAATTGTACAATGCGGCAATACGACCGGGCGAATTATTATTATTGATCACATTACATGTGCACAATCGATCGAAAATGGAGTTGATTATGAAGAGAGCTTTAATTCGTCGATCGAATGAATTATGAAATCGTTGCATATATGTAAATTCGAGTGGTTGTGTGATTTCGTCAATATATAACGTGACAAAAGCCCAAAGAAGAAAAGACAGCAACAGCAACAAGAGCAACACAACAAAAACGACACCAGTTCAACTTTCCATTCAATCAAGTCGATTATTTTAAATAGATTCAAAACTGGATCGCGTTGAATCGCATTTCAATGTACATATAATCACCATTTTGTTGTGTATCTCATCGAGAAAAAAAAGCATTCAACACTCTACATTCTGAATTCTTGGTACGTTTTGCCTTTTAGACGCAATTAATTCAACATGTGCCTTCATTCAACATGCCAACACATTCATTTAATTAAATGTTGTCTATTGCCTGGTAATTATCCTGTTTCTCGGGCGTGTGTGTGTGTATGTATGTTGCAAGGAGAAAGAACGTCACGCAGCATTTGAAGTATTTGTTTCGAAACGGGAATAAAGCACATGAAAAACGAAATCGTTTCCCTTTTCTAACTAGTATCGCGTACCATTATATCGTGCACAACAACAAAAACCGGCAATGATCGTGCAACAAAGTGAATTCAATATTTTAAAATCCAATTGAAATCTAGCCCATATCAAATGGCTGATTCAGAAATGGAAAAAAAAGTCCAAAACATCTCCAGATCATAATTGTTAGAAAGCAAACGAATATGGCTTTGATTGACCATCAGCTCTATGTGTTGCCGAGAATTCTCTCGTCTTTGTTAATCGCTCTTGAAATACAACCGCTTGTATGACGAAATATTGCCATACTAGGAGTGATTCGTTAACATTTCACTTTCATTGGCATATTTAAAATCGCAACGGTCTTTGCTCGCCACTTCTTCTATGGATTTGACATAATTTGAATGGTTCAAAAAAAAAAAAAAAACGTTGTGCTAATTTTAATTCAAATTGGCAATTTTCACTCTCATACCACCAGTTACGCCAGATGATATTTTTATTGTGGCTCGGCGCTGGTGTCAACGCTGATAGGAATTGCGATGCATTCGAGATGAATGATGCAATTGAAGAAAGAAAAATCTGTACACCGTTGCACACGTTCAAATTGCATATCATGTGTGCTACTTTCACGCGTGCAGAACGATACATTTGACAAAGTCGTCGATGGTTCGAAAATTAACAGACGGCCGATAAAAAGCGGGCAATTGCAACCGCAAAATGAATTTGCTGAGAATAATTTGCGATGCAATTGAGTTAGATTCAAAAGCAATGCGAAAATTGTCATGGAATCGCTTATTTAATGTTTGGTATTAATTAAAATGCTAGGCTCTTTTTTCTCATTCACTCTCCTCTATATTAATATCGGCTATGTTTCGGTCGCATATCCCAGAGAAACACTGTCTCAAATTAAAGCGCGTTGTGCACACACCGGTTAGTTTGTTGACGTGTTGGTGTTTTCTGTGTGTTGGGAAAAAAAGAAATTACATAATTACGATTTTGATCACAGCACAGATGATAGCGGTACATGGGATTTGGTGGTTCGGCTTGAATTTTGCTGTGATTTTTGTTACGTTTGAAGATATTAAATCAATACCAACTGTTATCTAATCCTAATGAATGTGTCACGCGCGACTCACAACAACACTGGCGACGCATAAACACACACACACACACACACACACATGCACATACAGAGGCTCCAAATGGATGGGGCCTCAGTCTGTCACTGTCTCTCTGGTGAAGCATGTAAATCGATATAATTAGTGCGATTGGAATGTGCTTTTGGAAGAGCTTTGTCGTATCTCTTTATTCGATTTTCTTTCCTTTTTCTCCATATGGTACGAATGTGCTGTTGCTACTACTACTGCCGCTGCTTTTTTTTCTTTTCTCCAACTCTAATGACAATTATATGGCGTGATTCTGTGAAATCAAACATAGCAACACATTTTCTGTGAGAAAAATCGCCGATAATTCAATGCAATCGACTGATGTCGATTTCCACAATTCAAATATATGACGCTACAAAGAAAAAAACCCATCAACGAAATGAAAAGACAACACTGTTATGGCTAAAGATTATATATGAGCTAATTTATTTTACTCGAAACAATATTCTAATAAGATTGGTCTGAAGCAACAATTCTATTTCGTAATCATACTTCTATTTCACAACCGGCAAATGTGATGTGTTCGACGACGCAACACCAATGGCCGGATACATTTCACAGAAGAAGCGATGAAGAGGACGGAGAAAAGCTAATAAATCTCACGTTCCGATATATGTATTACGGTTTTAGCGATGAAGGTGTGTGTGAGTGTTGTTTTTTTCTTTCATATTTGACATGGTTATTATTAGAATCTACGAGTTTAAAGCATGTCCGGAGGTTGTTGAATCGACACAAAAGAAAAAAGATGATATTACAATTTGGTGCAAAATTCCGCATTTAAAGATGTGACGTGTTGAAACTATGGGTTTTTTCAACAGGTGTGCTTGGTATACGCCTTCTGTTGAACCACTCTATGAGCGGCGGTTAGCGGCTACAAAACCAGTTGAAAACTTTAACCATCGCCTTTTTCCAGCAGAGAAAATTCTTTTACATAAATACCGATAAGCTAACTGAAATCGGTCTAATTTGCATATTTTTTTGTTTAATTCGACGGTTCATGTTAATAGAGATAGAACAACAATGCTATTGCGTTGTTTACATCATAAAACCATTGATGGGCTATCATTATGATTATTGCTGTTATTACAAAAGCAACGTCTTTTTGTACGAAAAAAAAGAGGAAAAAAAGCTTGAGCAATCCGTCGAATGTCTTAAGCTGTTGTGATATCTGGATGGTATGGTGTAGTTGTATGCGTGCGTGAATGTGTTTAGATGCCGAATGTATCTCATGGTAAAATGTTCATGATTGAGATACTGTAACTCAATCATGCACGTGTTATGTGTAAGCATCTTTAAATTTCCTCGAAATTGTGCGATGCGCAACACAAAATTTCGAGATACCCATTTCGTATGGCTGTTTATTTTGTGCGTTAACGCTCCTTTGCGTTTACAAAGTGATTGTTTTTCTTCAATTTTCTTCTCTTTCTTCGGTGATCGAATGCGCTCGAATTCGCTTTACGCTCGGGACTAGCGAATTGAAGACAACAATCCAAATAGATATGTACTTAGAACAAATAAATAAATTAACACCAACCCATTTCTATTTTCACTATTTCCTCGCAATTTTTGCGATCATCGGCCAGTGCATGAATGTTCAATTGAACTTTGAAAATGTGAAGGAAAGAAATGTGTCGTTTATTCTTCAATTTGTTACCAAGCAGTTTTTGCATTCGTTATGAATGAGAATAATGAATGCGGCGGTCGCAAGTTGAGACACATTCACGATCTACCGAATGGTCATTTTGTGAAAGCCTGCATTGAATCCACGATTAATGTGAACATCGAACGCACAGTAGGCAAACGCATTGAAGAGAGTTGTGTGGAAACATTGTGCGGTCGCGCGATCGGTCGCGATGCGCGAATGTTTGGCGTGAGCCAATTAGCTCATTTGGAATTAGCAAATGGTGATGGGGTTTTGTGGGCCAAGTGCACAAACACATAACAATAACGTTTGGCCGTTTACTATAAAAATTCGTCGAGTTCAGATATATATTTTTCGAGTTTGATTATGTATCGGTTATGTCACCGTCGCCAAAACTGAACCAACAGCACCATGTGAACGAATGAATGGAACCGTTCAACTGAGGTGGAGAAACAGTGGAAAAAGAAGAGAAATGAGTTAGAGCCGCTGGTGCGATTGGTGATTTGCATTCGATGGAGGAACAGCACAGCACAGCATAGCACAGCAAAATTCAATACAGTTTCATTTATGACGATTTTTCTCTTTCTATGCTTTGTTTTCATGACGTCTTTCCTTGTTTGAATTTATGAAATAGAGAAATCGTTCCGAATCAATCGACAAAACCATTACAAATAAAAATTCAAGTCCAACATTTCAGCAATACTTCTTTTTATTTCACCTCATATTCGGCGGTTGCGTTGAACGCATTGCGCTCCAAAGTACAAAACATTTACCAAACCATCCCAGTCATCATACACGACATATTTCGACAGGTACAGAGGAGATAGATAAAAGAGGTGGTACGCGCGCGGCAGGTCATTGGGGTTACGCGTGTTGAACAAGCGGGTTTTCCGACTTTTTGACGAAATCCATTCGACGATTGCCAATTTAATTTGTTCTATTGTATGCATATTCATACACGCACACCAATACAGCTGACACACTAAATTTCGAGAACACTCGTCAACTCATCGATATATCCGTAATTTCCAATACTTTTCTTTCCCGAACACATCACATGTGATTGACTCAGTCTCATTTTTATAAAGAAAAACATTACAAATTGCGCTTGACACTTCTGCCGGATTCTCATCGTAATTAATTCGTTTGCGCATGCCATTTGAGACCGGTGGACTTTCAGATAGGCTTAGAATAAATATGAACAGATCACTATTGACTGATTAGTTAATAAGACTCACAACAATGTTTATACAAACTAACAAGAGTCAAGGGATTCAATGTTTCAAGCAAACAAGAACTGTTCAGTTTTTATTAATTAAGCCATGAGCCGAGTTGAACAAATGAAATATGATGAAATTTGCTTTTAACATGGACGTGTGATATGACCTTGACGAAAAGATAATCAGTTGTCGTGTATTTAGTTTAAAATTCGCTTGAAATGGTGTCAATTTCATATGTTATAGGTGAGATACTTCAAATTTTTGCGTTATGCATGTACTTTTCATTTTCTTGGTATTTTTTCGCTCTTTTTCTCTCTCTCTCTCTCTCTCTCTCTACCTCTCTGTGCTTCTCTTTCTCGCTCTCTGCCTCTCTCTCTGTGTGTGTGTCTCTGTCTTTTGTTTTCGTCTAGTTTTCACTGCGCATGATTTTAATACACTTGAACCTATCATTGACCAAATTATTCAAGACGAGAAACTTTAAACAACTAATAACACAAGCAATAAACGCTGTTGAATACATCAAGTCAATGTTTACTTGTGTTACACGCTCAAACAATTTCTGGTTATTAGCAAAGATTAAATAGTACGACGATTCCACGTCAAAGCCCAAGCCTAATATTCATGTGCATCGAATTCAAGTTTTTTTCCCACTTCTCTCCAGCGAATGAATCGTTAAAGAGTTGTTCGTTAATAGTTTGTGAACAATCAATCGCAATAGAATTTTCTATTGCGTTCAATTGTATGTTTATCGTTGTGAATTTATTTTTTCCGGCGTCGAGTTCAACTTTCAAACATTTTTCGACGTGGAATTGTCGAATCGATCAGGCGAAAAGGAATACGAACAGATGGTGAAAAATATACTAAAAAAATGTTTTTGAAAAAAAAACTGTAAGAAGTTACTTAATTGCACTGTTCGAGAAAACTGCGTACTAGCATAATGATAGAAAGAAAAAAAAAAAAGCAAAAAAGTGCATTGATCTCATGGTCAAAATGTTATAATTAATATTGAGCTGGTTCGTAATTGGTTACAATATTCTTGAAAAGGAGTGCAATCACGGTATAGTCATTGTTTGCTCATTTATTTTTATCATTTTTTTTCTTTCTTGACGTGTTGCTGTTCTCTTCAAATGAATTCGGTCGGTCGGACGATGCTTCTTTTCTCCGTTGCTCGCCCGAGGCCCATTAATCAACTACTACTCCAATTATACTTGTAAGTTTAATTTTATTTAATTACTCATAAATTATCGAATGAAAATATTTGTTTTGAGTGGCAAAATGTGTAATTTATGCAAACCGACAATGTTCGGCCATAGCAACCACAAAAAAGATGCCATAAACTATTTTTTTTTAATAGTTACCAATTGCCATAGATTTTAAGACATTATAAATGTTACATAGTTCATATTTTGGGAGAATTTCGCGCGTGATAAAACCATTTCTTTATTTTGTTGTTGTTTTCTTTTTCACAGCCTGCGGATCCATCCAAAACATATTGAATTGGTCCGAAAATTACGCAATTGCAGAATAGGTGAATGCGAACCGCATGTGATCTGATTAATCGCTGAAATGACCGAGTTTTGCGATTCGCGTTGAAACGCGATAAATTTGAATTGACGTTTGGGGAAATACCCGCAACGAATTTCGGGAATTCCATGCTAGTATAATTAATTATATGCATATTTTTTTTTCCTTTTCAATGCTCTGTGAAAACATAATCATTTCACTCTGTCTACCGCTCTCCTCCCCCCCTTTCTCTTTCTCTCTCTCTCTCTTCTTCTCACCTTTCGAACGCTTTCTTTGCACCGGCAAATCATGAGATCTAATTGTTAAAATAGTAATGAATTAGTTGTTAAAATATTTAAATAACTAATTGAATAATTGACGAATAGTGTGATTGTAAGAATAGTACACTATTCGGTTTTTTTTCTCTCCTTTCTGTTGCGAAAGTAACAGGCGATGTGATTTACAATGTGTTTGCATGCAATCTGAAATGATGAAAGAGTTTTAATTCAGATTTCTCAAATTGTCTTTACATTGTCGATGCAAGGTCAGCGTTGCACTCGTTATCGAAACGCATATTTCAAAGAGAAACAACATTAATCATTTCGTTTTTTTTTTATTCTCTCTCTATCTCTCGTTTGATACTATCATTCATTGCTTAAATTATTCATTGCGGAATTTTTGCGTCGCTGGCCTTACACAGAGTCTAATTTAATTTGTTCATCTAACGAGGAACAAAGCGATCTTATTGCAAAGACAAATTACGATTCTTTGGAGAATTTCAAATTGAAAAATTGGTTTGTTTTATAAGAAAAAATGGATTTGAACATTTGCAGCGACATTCTTCCAGGGGAAAAGAAAAGTGTGTGTAATTAAATCGATCGGCAGGAAAATTTAATACAATCTTTTTAATAGTGGTGTAATAGATGTGACTGGAGCTGTACTTAACATCAAATGTTATGACAAAAACTCATACGAAAAGTAGCATTCTAACTGCTCTCGAAATTGTGTTTTGTTCACTGTAAACAAGTTCCAGGCCACATAGAATTTTGTAAGTGGAACACCTTTTGAACAAGACAAAAATACACACAGAAACCAAATTGATTTGCGTCAACCTTCCATCAATCAATTCCGTTGACCTACGTGTTCAGTGCATTAAGGATAAATTAATAATATCAAAATTATGTAGGATCTAGTTTCGCACGTTCGCATATTCAAGTCGATTGATCGGAACGTTTTTTTTTTATTCAAGGAAACATATGTCCTACATCCAATCTCGAAATACGAGAAGCACCGTTTCTTTTTGTTTCACGTGGAAATTGCAATGTGTTTCGCAACGGAATGGGCAAAGCTGTAAAAACAAAACACGAATAAAGCTTTAAATCGCCTTTCAAAAATCGCCGACGATTGTTCGGGCAAAAAGCTTCGAAAAACAGCGAAAATCATCGCTAACTACAATTTATTATTCATATATACAATCTGGATAAATTATGGAAGATTATCATCAAATTTCCAACTTTGAAATTTTTCCATTTATTCATTTTGCAAATTAACATTGTATTTCAATGAAGCGTGCAAAATGTTTTTTGCCCGTGCTTTGAACAACGATACTCAGCGACCTCTGTGAAGTATTGCGGCCAGTGGACAGCAGAGCTTTACTAATCACGATCGAACTTACTGTTAAGTATGAACGAACGAAGCGGTAAATACTGCTTTTCGATCAGTTTTGTATCAAATCAGTGATATTACATATCCTGGCTATTGACTTTGAATGAACTTTTATCAAATTCAATGTAACATTCAACATGATTGCAATTGGCTGTACAAAATTATGTTAAACTGGAGCATTATCATCTGGGATAGGATACTTTGAGTTTCGTTTTATGTTTGAAATACGCAATTTTCTTCAACCAAATACTCTCTTTAGTCACAACGGCAATCATGAAGCGCAAAGAAGCAAAATGTGAAGTTGCGAACCGAGACATATTTCATTCGGTGACACATGTATGAATGAGAAAATGACTCATCCGAGTGAGAACCGCTGAGTTATGGCTTTTCTAATGTTATTTGCATTGTGATATCTTATTTTCAAATGAAAGCGGCCATAAATTTGAATGGCACGTGAAAATAAAATGCGTAAAATGAAATGAATATATGCGTCGTATAGATATTTTTCCGGCGTCCAATTGTGTATTCGACGGTGGTCGAGTGAGTACGTGAATGCAATTCAAACATTTATTTATTTGTACGTTATTCTATTGCGAAGCATACGTTATAACAACTATTACGCTATTCATGTGAGTTGAAAATGTACGATTGAAAAGCTGATCTCAAATTCAACAATAACATTGATTTGGTTGGCGATTTTTCTGCAGAAACAAAAAAAAAATACTCAATTTTAATTGCACTCTCAGTAATTTTCGTGTTCATCATGCAATTTGTTTGCAGACGTTTAATGGCTGTCATCACAAATGGGAATGCGAATGTGAAAAACAAAAACAAAAATAAAAATCATTGCAATTCACATGCAAATTCGATTAAAATCACACAGAGCGCGATCTTATGGCCTCGTGGTCGATCCATTCAAATTGATAAAAACAAATATGCCCGTGTGTGTGTGTGTGTGTGTGTGTGTGTGTGAATGAATAGCGCACATGGCAAAATCAATTAAAATGCATTCCCGATTTGGTGCAATTCCACACTAATCTCTATTCAAATTTATCACATTCAGATAAATAAAGAGACAGACTTTTTTTGTGGCTGTTGTTGTTGTTCAAGAAATGCAATATGCTCTTGCAAATCCTCTATCGCAATGACAATTAAAATCTATCTAATCAGAACCTTCAGATTAAGATGTGTGTGTGTGTGTGTGTGTGTGTGTGTGTGTGTGTGTGATGTGCACTTGGAATTCAACGGAAGAGTTTTTCCGCAGATTAAATAATGACATTTTAGTAACATCCATCTAATAACATTCGACACTGTAAATGTGTAATTTGCGCTTGTCCTTTATTTATTTTCGTCAGAAGATTGCACAAAATCGACGCAACGGAAATTCTTTTCAATTTAAAGTTCTCCCCTTGATTACGCTAAATGAATGGATTTTATTGACATGTTAAAAGTGTCTGTTGCCAAGGTTCGACAAAGAGTTGAAAAATAAAACCAATTAAAAATTACATTCTTTTTCGTTGATGAATTGGTTGTTGGTTGTTGGCAAGTCGATATCAAAGGAAATGGCCACCGTCTTCGCACAACTGATTTCCAACAGTAATTAGTAAATGTTCGATTAGCTATTGCATCTATAATTGTTCAATAAATATTCAATCTGATCCATTCATGTTAGCATGAACGGAAAAAAGCTAAACCCATAAATTACCATTCACCGCATGAAAAATCTACAAAACAATCGAAATCCATTTCCAGTGAGGAAAACGAATATGAGCAATAACAATGGAAACAACAACAACTGTAAAAGCCACATTCAGTTTTTATATCGTTTAAATAGAAGTGAAGAAAAAATTAGACGCATTTTTATTGCTGAAGGAGTGATTGGGCCCATTTGTTTACTATCAAGGTATTTCTGCAATAGAATATGAGGAAATCATCTAAAGCTTACTTGCAAAAGGAAATGAGCCGGCTTTTCGATCGATGCCGATACATAGAGAATGTTCAAATAGAAAAAAAAGGTTACATTTAAATACAATATTTATTTATAACAATAAAACACACAACAAAAGTAATCTTCTCTGAATGCAAACCACTCATTCGAACGGCTAAACTCTTTTCTTAGAATCAGAAAGAAAATGATGTTATAAGTATTTTTGATTTGTAAAATCAAAACATTTAATTGCAATTAATAGAGCATATATTCTCACTTGATCAGCACTAAGCGCATATGAACCAATTGAAACGATTACAAATCGAATTGATAATGTGATTAGTGTTTGTGCATATAATTCATTACTTGCTGTCACTAATATTTAACGATATCGGACTTGAGCTCAATGGCTTTTAATTTTAGCTTATAAATGAAGTCATTATTTGCGAAATTAATGTCTGCATTTAAAATGAACATCGTGCCTATGCTCACATTTTGTGTTCTTTCCAAAGCGGTGTTCAACACAGTTTTCGATGGAATCTAAGCAGCCGTTTTTTTATGGGCGTCTGAAGGATTTTTCAAGAGAATCAATGGACATCGCCATATCATCTTATTTATATATTATTTTTCAGACGAAAATAATGTAGAAGATTAATGAACTGGCTATTTTTATCTATCTATTGTGATCTGATTGAAGCTGATGAAGAAGAAAAAAAAACTTTCACTCATTTTTACTTGTTATTCGAAGTGCTTAAGATCACCTTGGTAGTTGTATTGTTTGATTTGATTCTTGTATTTAATACCGTTTTCTTTTTCTTCAGATTTCATCCAAGTTGGTTGAACCAACCAGTTTTTCATGGAATCATTTTCATAAAGAAATGCTCAAAATAGATTTTTTTTTATTGCCAATGCGGAAATGTCAAGCACACATACACCAAACCATATTTATGATTCGGTGAATACGATTTCTAGGAGCGAAGAAAAAAAGCTGCCAATGGACCTTCGTTTGCCATTTACTTTGAGAATTCTGTTTCCATAGCCACTTGAGTTTATCGATTGTGTTGATTTTATTCGAGTTGTCGATATTTTCAGCAGCAAAAATAAGGCAGGCACTTGACTTTTTTCTCTCAGTCGTGGTGAAGTGGATACGTCGCTTATAAATGGCACAGCAATTATTCGATGGTAGAATCTCTCTCCCACTTTAAATATATACATGAAGTAAACATTTAAGTCAGCCAGCATGTTTCACTCGATGGCAATAGACTCTTTACATTATGATCTTTGGCGACGAGGCAAATAATCAACGGTTTAATATTTACATATTGAACGTATGATTATCGTTCAGGAATAAGAAAATAATTTAAAAGGCAATTCTTTTAATGAAATTTTTTTTAAACCCTTAATAAAACCTATATGGAATAGGAAATCCTCAATGTTCAATCGACCAATGACGTGGTGGAATAGTGTTGATGTCTTTTGAAACATGAATATTCTTGTCGAAGTATCGAGGAAAACGAAAACCACTTAAAAAGAAAAAATAATATTTATTTTCATCAGGAGCGAATGATTCAAACTTGGATGCCATAGTCCAGCAAAACAAATCGTATTAAGATGATCATAATATGATATGAAAGTATTGAGCAAAGAATGCGAACTATGCAGTTTAAGAAAATTGTGGAGCAAAGGGCACACCAATTAGTCAATTTTATGACGCAATTTTTATCCATTTTCAGAGACGCTTGACTCAGGTGATGGAGTTTTTTCTGACAGAAATATATAATAATCTCTCTCAAATCGGTTCAAATCGCGTGCAATCATCTTTACTACTGGAAAAAGCCATAAAACTCAGACACTTCCAAGTACTCACCAATTAATTGGGTATTTCATGTTTCTGAATCACAATTCCTGAACTTAAATCTTGCATTATGATTCACATTCTTTTAGAATTGTGAACGAGTGCAATCGCAAAAGAGTTGCATGTTAATATATTTGGCGATATAAGTGAATCTTAATCAAGAGTCGTACAAGTAATGTAAGATCAATGAGTAATAAATACGCAATAAGCAGAGAGTTACGAAATTACAATGAAAACCAGTTTTATGTATTCCATTTAAATCGCCTATTGCAATAATTGCATGCAGCCAACAAATTAACGTGCATAAACTCTGTCGACTGTGTGTGAGAGACGAGCGCACACTGCTGGAATAAACATCCACCACAATTTGAAATCGAATTGAGTGGTGTTTATTTTTGCACTGTCACTCTGGCGAATGAAAAAGTTTTGCGCGCGAGTGTACACACACGCACACAAACACCGCCGACATCGATAACGTGAAACATAATCTGTGATGATGGAGTGACTCGTTTGGCCCGATCACAACAAGATACTCTGATTACGAATATGCTATTTTTGTTGATCACTTTTTATTCATGTTTTTCACATGTAATTTAATAGTTTCTTGAGTGCGCGCCTACCTCGTAACGTAATCTTCCATCAAATTTGTTGTGATTTCTTTCTAATTCGCTTTATCGATGAATTCGACTGTGCAATGTGCACACGCGATGCAGCGCCTAGAAGATATCTATTCAATTTTCAGGCTGTTATTTGCTTGCACAAACTACCAGCCACTGTTTGCAACTATACGAAAAATGGGTGTCATTTGAGAGATTGTGTGCACGTAATATTCATACAGAATAATAACGGCAAAAGCTATATTTTAAAAACGAATCTGATTGGACCAACGTCAAAGCATGGACAAAACAAATAAAACATGCACACTGCACAGCAACCAAATCAGGAACAAAAACATTTGAACAACTGCTGTAGGATGAAAGCGAAAAAAAAGATCAGAGTGGAAAAAAATGTGGTCAGAAGAATGATGAACGGCCGGATAACTATTTCTTTCGTCTGAAATTAAAATCGACTAGAAATTGAGACCTTCAACTGAAACTTTGAGCACTCACTTTTAGCATCAATACTGTGAGGTAATAATTGACTGACTTGAATGGTTTATTCATGGTGACAACATTTGGTTTGTTTGTCGCCAATGATTTAAAATCTATTTGGATATTAGCTGTATTTCGTACGACTCTTTGAGAATTTTATTTGCCAAATATTTCATGATGATCGCAAATATCGTCGTGCATCGAAGGATGACAATATACAACCATGTATATGAGATTTCATTGACCAAAAAATTATCACTCTTTTGCACTTGCTAAAAGCGTTTTTATTGTTGTCGTCGTCGGACGGTTGAATGGAACAAGAAGAAGAAAAAGAAGAAAAAAAAAACGCCAAAGAGAGGGTCAGACAAGTCAGTCCGTGCAAGCCGTTTACAAGGTGGTTTCCATAGTTGTGCCATTCACTTCAGATATTTACCATAGCGTGCATTCCTTAGCAAAGTGAAAACGAAAAAAATAATTTCAATCGTAAGAATCTTCACTGGGATTGTTATCGTAAAGCTAATTTGATTAGAATCACGCATGTCTATACAATAGCCGTGTTATTATCAGTCGTTTTGCATGGAGCAAATTTTTTTGTTTACAAGAATTTGAAAATCATTTCGAAACAGGCAATTCACTGATCTCTCCGGTTGTATTGATGTGAACCGGATTCTTGCGATAATTGTCATTGAATGACGCGGAGTCGGATTGTTTGGCAATTTTAGGTAGTCAATGTACGCGGATTGCATTGAAAGAGCATGAATTCTCAGTGACTGCAGGCAGGATTACATCGAAGAAACGGTGCATACGTAATATAGACAGCGTAGAGTGCAAAACAAAAAAGTATTTACAATGTCGTCAGAGTAGTCGGCCTGAAGAAGTTATGAATGTGCGTGCAGGCAAAGCAGTGGCAACGAATGAAAAAAAAAAAACAAGAAAAACTACTAATCAAGTTCTGCGTGGCGAATCCGTATAACTGAATTGAGCTCCAATGAACTGAAATGCAGCGCATTGTCCAATGCGCGTGTCAATAACACTTAAAAGGCACCAACATAAAACACAGACCAAAAAAAAGAGTCCACTGACGTACACGCTGGATATAATTGATAGGAATAAAGTGAATTGATCCGTTGAACTAACGTCAATGGAATGCAATTCATGCCGAAGATGTGAGGATTTTGGATGAGTGTTGAACAATCATCGTCTTAGTAAATGCAATAAAATCTCCACTTTTTCCAAGCCTCATTATTACATGATGCACAAATGAATGATTTGTTTTTTGAGAATTGGAAACATCGTCACAAATAATAATGGATTAATTACAGTTTGTTTGTTTGTTTGTTTGGTCGGATGCATATGAATGAATGGAAGATGAGAATGCTATCGTTTTGTGGTTTTCTGATTTCGTTTCAATGTGCATTTGGAATACGTCACGCACCAGAAAAGTCACGCTCAAAACAACGCTGATTGGGGATTTCCGATAAAATATGGGTAATAAAGTGATTTAGACGCAGGTTAAATTAGCAAATGATTTTTCTGAACTGAGGAGCATAGAAGCGCATGCAAAAATTAAAGCGAGAATAAAAAAAATTATGTCATTGATGTGGTGCAGTTACTTACGTTCCGTCATCGGTCCAGCTGAACATTTTTTTCAGACGCTTTTTATCCGGCTTCGGTTGTCGGGCCGCTTCATTAATTTCACTTATTGAACTCATTGTTTTTATTGTAAATTGTCTGTGTCGATGTTTTGTATTTGAGAAAACGTATCAATAGATTTCAACTAGAAATAAAACCGCAAATAAAAATATTTTATGATTTATTTGATATCATTCGACGTATTAAACTTTGCTGTGGAATTTGCTATTCAAATCGTTGTTATTTCACCCAATAGATGACATGATCACACAGTGCGACAGTAGAAGCTCTTCAACATCCGTATGGCAATCGGGTTTTTTTAATGCGCACAATTTTTTATTTTGAATAGATTTTCTGCATGATTATCACATAGGCACTAAGTAGGAAGTTGAAATCAATAACAAATAAATGACGTATCGCATGGCGTCTGCAAATTTGCAAATCTTTTTTTTTTCAATGGTTACAATTATTTCAGAAAATCATCACCCGAAAAACTTTCTGACTCGACAAAACGGGTGAAAATGAATCAGATCTCTTTTTCTTTCTTTCAGTCTTTCGTTTAACTCTTCGTTTCTTTTCTTTTTTCAATCACAAACCAATACCAATTTCGATTTGAATATACGCGTTTGTTTTCATTCCGATCACTTGTTACCGTTTTTACCATTTCACTCTCGTTCACAACGACGATGACAACGACAGCGATAGCAACAGTTGCTTTTCGATTTCCAAATGCAGTGAAGAGAAAGAAGCATGAACAAGCAGAAGAAGAAGAAGAAGAAGAAAATATGAAAGAAATGGTAAGTGATATTGGCAACGGAGGTTTGGTGTAATTGGCCGCGGCGTGTGACTTCATTCCTCTCCTTGTGTTTGAATGTTACGCAAAGAAGAAACACTACGCCAGACTCATATATTCGTAACTGTGGTACGATCGTTTTCTTTGTTTACGGCTTGGTCGTGCGCGCGTGTACACTGTACAGTTTCACCGCTATGCGAAAGCATTCAATTTCGATTTCGATACAATGAAAAAAAAAATGCAATTGTAAAAAAAGAAACAAACAACAACCATGTGTAAGCGACTCGCATCATTCCCAAGTTAGATTCCATGCTAGTTTATTTGTACTGTTTGAATTGTCGACTTTTTGTGGTGGCATTTCGAATTTGTAGCACAACCATACATACAACAAATCCAATGACAATTTCGATGGGTTCGATGGATTTTCACATTTCTTCTTCTTCTTCTTCATTTTCGTTTTCGTTTTTCATTTCAATTTAACAACCAACAAGAATTTAATGTTTATCAGAGGAAACGAACCATTGAATTAATGACAATAAAGAAGACAAAGTACACCAAAATGCTTGAGGAAACGAACGAACGAACGAATGAACAAACAGCAGAAGAAAAAAAATGTTTTGGAAGATGTCACTGCCATTTGCAGTCCAAACTGAACAGTTTTGCTAAGAAAACTTGATTTTATTATGGAAAAACACTACCAAGCCGCAGTCGCATGTACCGATTCGCGAGTTAAATTGATTTTGCGCAATAAAATAACGATCGTACTGGTGACATCGCAGAAAATAAAATTCGTTTTTTGAAAGGGAAATAAAATCAAACTTTGCATATGATGTTTTTGTATCGGCGGCACATTGGAATGTATCAGCCGAAGAAATCAATACAATCCAAATTGAATATTGAATAAAAAATGCCAGGCAAGCGATGAATGAATGATCGATGAATTAAACGAATCATTCGTGAACGCACAACGAAAATAGCAACCAAATGCTAACGAAAATGTTCAACAACAGCAGTAGCAGCAAAAAAGTCGATTGAAACTACCACAAAACCCCACAGCAAAACTCAACATTTAAACAAACACTCAAAACCAAATGAATTTGAAAAGAAAACGAAAATTCAACGTTTGATTCACGTCTTTTTTAAATTGCAAAAAAAATTTCCAAACGTCTTTTAAATAATAATTTGTTTACTTCAAAATCACACGCGAAAAAAATCGTAAAATTGTTTTATTTTTTATTTGTCAATTTCAGTGTTGTTGTGTTCACGTTTTCGTGGTTTTAAAGAGAAGCAAAAAAATTCAAATAGCAACTTAATTCCGACTAACTTTTATTTTTACACACACTGTCTGTTCGGATGTTGTTGTCGATATACGGCTTAAACAAATCAACGAGACGAACGACACCACTGTGGTCGATGCTTTTCAAACTGGATTGAATATTGTTCTTCTATTCGGTTTTCATGCGATGTTGATCCGCTAAAACGGAAAAATATGTAGGTATATAGAAGCAGCGAAAAAAAATCATCGACGGTAGCAGCAGCAGCAACAAAACAACACAGAGATACACAAAGCAGCGCGACGGCCAATGTGACGACAGCAAAAGTAAGTGAATTGTTGTTTGTAAAAGAAGAAAAAAAATGGATAAAAAACCAAAAATAAAAATACCCCAAAAGAACTTACAATGTATGCGAAATGCACAGAGCGCGCTTTATAACGACACAATATATGAAAGAGACACGAAATCAATGCTTCATCGTTAACATTCGCGCACACACTGCGCGCTCTCCAGGTGTATTTACAATATCGACGGTCATGTGTGTATGTAAACATGTACATGTTTATGTGTTGGCCTTTTAGATTCGTCTTTCTACTCTTCTCGTTTGTTGTTTCTTCGCTTCTCTTCTCTTTTTTTTTATATGTATATCTACTATATATTTTATATTTCTTCGTTTCTCTGATTACTTTAATTATTTTCTCAGTGCAGCTCGGTCTTTTTCTCCTTCCTGGTTCATACGAACCAAAAAGTGGAAAAATTAAACACTCTCAAATGTTTGTTATTACGCTCAAAAAACGATTTCGAAAAGAGAAGAAAAAAGAGCAAATAAAATGTTGTGGTATTTGGTTAAAGCTTAGACATTGGTGAGGCACGCGTGTAAGTGAGAACACAAAGAGACTGAATTCCACGAGCCAACTAGTTTTGTACGTTGAAATGCAGTCAAATACCAGCGATCATTTCGTATATTTGTGGTTTTTGACAATAATCTTATACATTTTTTTCTTCTTCGTATCCAAATACTTACCAACTTCACTGTCCGTTTGAGGCGTGTGCGTTAGTTATCTTACCACGCACACGCTGGCATTCGTAGAACAGTTTGGAGACTTTGCATTCTTTAAAGAATTCAGCAACAACAACATACACTCACACCTCGTTATCAATGCAATGACCTGCTTATAACCGATGAAGACATGCGACAAATTTCCATATCGTCCACACAATTTGACTTTTCAACAATTCTCTCCATCTTTCTCTCTCTTCGTCTTCCGTCTCATACACAAAGACAGACATTTCGATCAATTTACATTTTTTGCAACTTTAGAAATAACAACAACACACCTGATCAAGTGAATGTAAAATATAGCTTAAAACTCTTAATTCATATGTGGTGACTCTTCTTTGGAGCACACTCGTTGGAAAGTCAACCAAATCAAAAATAACTTATAAGAGGAACCGAATGAATTCGCGAATTTGTGTCAATCAGCTTTATCATAATCTATAAAATGACGCAGCAGGCGATCGAAAGTGATATCAAATTCTTGCGTTGAACTTTTACTATTGTTCTATTTGAAGGGTGCACTTTGACAAGTGCGCTATTCAAGTGGATGCTTAAGTTTGTCATTTGTAACCTTACAGATTTGTTATCATCAATTGACATGTTGGAACTACAATATTTTCACTGTTGGCAATTCAGGTTGTAGTGATATCGAGATTATCAAAATTTTAGTAGGAAAGTTGGTAGAAATGCGAATTTATTTATTTATTTCAAGAAAAATAATGAAACGACCATATATTCGAATTGTATGCCATTGTCAAGTGCCGCGCACAATTCCATTAGAGTGACAATTAATTGCAAAACCAATTCAAGGAGATAGATGCCGATTGCATGAATTTATTGTGTGGTTAGTTTCTCCTCTCTTTTTTCTGTATAGGCTGTGTGTGTGTGTTTGTGTGTGGTATGTGGAAAGTTTATCACACGAAACAGCTAATTTGTATGTTGTAATCAAGCATTTGTGCTAGCATAACCAGTGTGTAAATATTTCACACCGATAGTCCGATTCCGTTGAAGAAGTAAGGCAAAACCAGCAAAGAAATAAATAAATAGAAAACAATTGATGGGTGTCTTACACATGGTCATTCAATGCACATGAATCATTGTGAATGGGAAAAGACAGCATCACAACGGAAGGAGAAAGTGCCTTCTTTTAGTTTCATATTGCACTGTTTTTATTGGAATCAAGATCTTCGGAAATATTTTGAGCATTTAAATCAAATTTATCAATTTTTTATGAGAATAGTTTGTCGTCCCAAAAGTCAAACAGTAGATGTTACATTATATAACCGAATAAACTCATCGCTCAGCGAAATGCACGCGCACACATTCAAACGTTTAATGAACTATGAAGCAATAATCGCTCTGAAATTCATTTTACTCAATTTACAATTAATACGAGCTCGAGTTTTTTTTGTTCAAACTATCGGATCAACTATTGGCTGATTTTTTCGATTTTTTTTCTATTTTAAAACGTTTTCCTTTTCTTACTTTTATTTTATTTTTGTTTTTTTTTTATCTGCATTTCTTCTCTTATTCTAAAACAAAATATAACAAAGAGAACACTTTGTTTTCATTAAAATTCAACTTACATGCTTCGTCAATGGTATCCAGTCCTTAAAAAACTGAACGAAATTCAACAACGTATTATTTTAGTTGCTTCTGAATAAGAACTAAAAACTATTGAAACATCATCATTTATACGCCTATGAATAAAATTATAAATGGAAATCGATCAGCGTGATAGAATCCTAATTCATTGGCATGTGCCTAATTTTAATACATAATGGGAAAATGAGCAGACACCCAATTTTCTGTGAATATTTATTATATTTTATACTCGTCCTGTGCACAGCGCAATGAGTTTTGCTTTGGTTCTTATTTTGTGTATAGAATTTTGGGTCGAATGCATTTCTTCACAAATGGAATTTTTACATGATATTTTTTCAGCGTTTAATAGCGTTTCAGTAGAATATTTAAGCGCACTGCATTGATCTATGCATC